CGCTTTTCTTTGTTTGCCACCGCCTGTTGTTCTGTTCGTCATGTTTGTTTTCGCCTCGTTCGCCATCTTCGTCTTCTTCTCTACTTTGTCCCCTTTTCCGGCTTTCCCGCATTTTCAACATTTTCCTCACTTTCCCCATTTTCTCGTTTTCCTTATTTTCCGCCTCTCACCCCAAATTCAGTTCTCGCCATTTTGCGTGCTGCCGTTTTCATTTGGCAAACGTTACAATTCCGCCATTATTGTTGCTTTTGTCAACATTACTACTCGCCCACGTCATCAACAGCTCGGAAAAACATCTTAGTCACTTTCACTTTTCATTACACTTTTCGCTTTCGTTTTTCGCTTCCCCCTTTTCCTTTATCGCTGTGTGTGCTTTTGTCATGCGGCGCTTTACATGACGCTCTGCTTTTTCCTACCCTTTTCCGGATTTCCCGTTCTCAGTTTTTTTTTCTTCTCAGTCTCAGTCTCTTAGCCAAAATGGTTTTTAACCCAAATTGCAACCGTTCTCATCAGCAAGCTCTGCACTCAAATCCGCTTAGCGACAATTTTGCCCACACGAACACACTGGCCACCATAATTGAATTAATCCTTGAGCAGTGAAAGCCAAGGGCTGGCTTAATTGCACACACATCTAGGTGAAAATCTGCAAAATATTAACTAAACTAGACTAAATGCGCGGACGCCCCGAGAAGTGAGCTAGAAACGGGAGAGATTGCCTCGACTATTTAATACCCGTTAATCACCCAAGAGCGTAAAGAAAGTAAAACTGCTTGCACTGCTTGCATTTTATTATTTGTTTTTCTCATAACTTTTTGATTAATGGTCCGATTTTAGAATTTTCTTCTACATTCAATAGGTTTTAATAAACACAACACAATGACATTTGCAGCTTTACAATATCTTCCTTCTACCTTTTACATACAACCTACCAATAAAATATACCCTTTTACTCTAAAAGTAATGGGTATAAAAATATAGAGAAGGCGACTCGTATTCGTATTCGTGAGCTGAGCATTCAATCCCCAGACAAAGCAGTACTTATCGCCCCCAGGGGCTTGGCAAGTAATTGCATAACGGGCAAAAAACAGAAAACAGCAAAGAAAAAACAAAAAACAGGCAACGATTTGGGTTAAAATAAATTGCATGTTTCGTTTACGGCAGTGCCGTGTGTGCATGCAATCGCCAGGAACACCACCTGAAATACCACCCGAACCACCACCCACTGCCTCCTGCAGCGTTAGTTGTTTTGCATAATTAATGCCATCATAGGCAGAGGTAATTGCATCTAACCCGTTGCCCACGTCGTTGGCTGGTCGACTGGCTGCCTGCCTGTGTCCTGCCGCAATGTGGCCGTAATGACGGTATCAGCCCCAGGACCGCATTAGGCCAGCACCACCTGCACCACCCTCCACCACCCTGCACCACCACCCTGCACCACCCTCTGCGCATCGGTGGCAAACTGTGGGCACTGGCAATTGATTTTGATTTTGATTCATTGGGCAGCAACGAGCGACGGAACGGGCTTGAATTAATTTTAAATATTTAAGGACCAGCAGGCGACGCATCGTTTAAGCGGGCATTAAGTTAATAAAACTCCAAGGACGCGGCCACCGTCATCACGAGTCGTCGAGTCCTCCGCCCTCATCGTCCTGGTAACTCAATTATGCAGCTGCCAGGTCTAGGACAAGGATACCGGGATACACGGGGTCCACGGGGCTGTAGGAGTTGTCGCGTTGAGGGTGCCAGGATGTGCATGTGTGCTCCGCCGGCTGAAGAATTTATGAAATTTTTATGACTCGCACTTAACATCACCTGAAGGCAGAGGGCAACGGCATTTATACTATAATTAAGCATTATTCCATTACTCAAACTCTTGGCAAACAAAGGGGTCATAGCTTTCCAAATCAAAGTCTTTCAGAGGCACTTTTTCAGGGAAAATCAAATTATCTTAAAAGTTTGTTCAAAGCAAAAAAATCTAGGAAAAGTTTAAAGTTGAAAGCTGCCCAAATCTAAGAAAATGCTATGTTCAAAAAGCATATAATATATGTTTCTTCAAAAGTCATTTGTTTTATTTCGCTTTAATTAATAAAAATTAATAAAATCATTTGAATTAAAATAAATTGGCAAAGGGGCAGATAGATGAGTTTTATAGAACTCTTTTAAATGGCGAATAAAATTGTTACCGAATATTAAAGGAGGATGATGACCCCGAACTCCGAAAATGATAAAAGATTTATTCAGGGTAATAAATAAATTAAATAGAATTTCTAATTTCTTTGAAAACTGAAATTCAATAAAATTTCACCAAATTAAATCGAAACTCGGGTGAAATACACAGACACAGGATTTTCAGGAGTTAAACTTTTAGGGCTTTAAAATCGGTTACACTTTTTTTGTCTCAAAATCCGACCCATGTGGAGACTGGAGAATGGAGACTGTAGACTGGAGAGCATGTTTTATTGTCACCAATTCCTCTGACAAGCGACTATCTTGAACCAACATCCCACTGGGAGGGAATGAAAATGTTTGCCCATCTAGCCGTGTTCGTGTTCGTGTCGTGTGAAGCCTTAAAGAAAATGTTGCTCTGGCCATGGTTATGGTTATGGTTATGGTTCTACTGCTGGTCCTACTCATTCTCATCCTCATCGTCATCCTCCTCCATTTGGATGCGACTCTGGCTGTCGCTGCTGCTGTTATACCTTGTTAGCTGTTGTGTAGATTTCGGTTATGAAAGACCCCCTCCGTCTTGGCGGCATGCAAAGTCCCCCTCATCCAGCCGCTTGCCCTTTTCCCAGCTTCTCGCCTGTGCGGTATTCCAGAAAACGAAAACATATTTTCCATGCGAGTGCACAAAGCGATGCGAGACGCACAGAAGAGCAGCAGGAGCAACAGGAGCAACAACAGGATCCGGCTCACATATCTCGCTGCTCGCTTCGGTTATCCCCACTTGTATGTGTGATTGCCGCACAGAGGACGAAATATTTGCATTATTACCATTTTTGAAAGTTTTACAAGCGACTAAAAATAAAAAGATGTGAAATTTTGATCAAAATAAAATTGATTTAGGTGTAAAACAAAAAAATTGATTTGAAACGATGATCAATTTGATATTATGTGCTATCAGCTCTGTTTTGATATGCGGCATCTCAATTTGATATGCTCGAACTGTAAATAATAGAGAGAGTCTTTATATTGCTTCTTATTCTTTTAAATTCAGAGAATCTCTGAAAATGCGAGAAAATTCGGTAAAATGATTTTATTTCATATCAATTTTACCAGTATTGCATGGTAAAAACCATATGCGTATAAATGCCAGAAATTTACCATGCGCATATCGATTTAATTCTGGCGTGTTTTGGTTTGTGTGTGTATATCAATCAAAACACCTATAACACCTAAAATAAATAAGAAATCTAAACTGAATTTAAACATTTTCTCTGCGTGTATTTGTACGCTTCCCTGACTTTTTTCCGTCTCGCTTCTGGCTTCTGCTGCTGTTGTTGTTAATCCTTTTCGAAATTTTTAGTTTGATTGTTGGGAAAATATTTTAGACCCCGGGCACAAGCACACACACATGTATATATGTTTATACTCCACCCGGCACAACGCACGCATTAGCATAACTTGTGGGTGGAGGTGGGGGTGGAGTTTTGGGTGGATTGCCGCATGGAATGCGAAAGTGGAGCGGAGTGTTTGAGGGCCCAACGGGGGATATGTGTGGCCGCTTTAAGCGATTTAAGAGGGACCGTTTTTGGGGCAAGCTAAGATTTCACAATAGACTTTACAAGGATTTTGAAAGGACAGAAATTCCTGATATCATCCATGTCAGTATCAAAAGTAGACTTAAAAAACCCCAAATGAAATGGATTAAAATCCTATTCAATTGATTTTTCCACACTTCACTTTGGCTTTCGGTTATTTGCATATCACCTAGCTGAAAAAAAGGGCAGAAAAGTTAAACAAAAATGTGAATCTCTTTACATATTATCGTTTTTTACTCCCCTACCATCGACTTTTCCCAGTTGCACAGGCTGTCCAGGGCTCATTTGCATGCCGCATGACAAAAAGCTCGTGGCAAATGCAAATTGAATCCAACTTAAACGCAGGCGGTCAGTTTAAAATTTAAATTTAAATTCAACAAACCGACGGCAATCGCTCAATGACATTGATTGGCTGCTGCACGAGTGTTTCGCATTTTTCGCTTTCGCGGGGGGTTGGACAATTAAATATTTGCCTGTCTTATGGCAGCCATTTGTTTTGGCCAGAACCCAGGGGCATTCGGTATGGATCCCTCCCCTTAATTCCATGCACAGAAAAAAAAATTGGCAAAAGATCAGATTGATATGTGAAGGCTAATTTTATACATTTAAAGATCAAGTCATATCATTTTGATATGAAAAAAGATTATGTTTTTAATTTTAATGTAACATTATTTGTTCAAAAAATACTAAATTTGATATTTTAAAATATTTTTTTTTATATAACTCATATAATAAAATATCAAATTGATATGTTTGGATCATAAATTTGACATTAATCATATTGTCAAAAGTAGAAATTTCCCCTTTTCTAAATGAAATGAATATAGTTTATGTTATCTAGTTCAAAAGATACCACATTTGGAATTTTCAAATAGTATTTTCATATAACTGATATGATAAAATATCAAATTGATATGTGTGAATCATCAATTTGACATTAATCATATCGGATGAGGTAGAATTTACCCTATTTCATATTGATTTTTTTCTCTGTGTGGAAACGTGACCCAAACGAACTGCGACGGCGACAGAACTCGTTACTGTCACGCCCTGTTGCCGTTGGGACATGACAAAGGTTGACACAGCGCCTGCATTTATTAAAACAACTGCCAGCAGGACGTGAAGCGTAGAATATCGGCTGTGTATTGTTTATCAGGGGGGAAGTTGGGGGTTGCGTAGCTTATTACTGCTCAAGTGGCTTGTTGAATCACTCTAATGTTGCTCATTATTCACTTGCAGTTTATTGGCAACAATAATGGTCAGCACAACATTGACAACACTGGCTGCTGGACAAACAACTAGTAGCAGTAATCACCATCACCACCACCATCACCAGCAGGATCAGTTGCAGCAGCAGCAACATCAGCAGTTGCAGCAGCAGCAGCACCAGCAGTTGCCCTACCAGCGACTGCAGCCACACGCAGCAGCAGCAGCGGCAGCTGTCGGCCAGCAACGCGGCTTCTACGCACTCAACGGCAGCTTGGAGCTGGACTGCGACAGCAGCAACAGCAACAGCTACCAGCAACATCAGCAGCAGCAGCAACAGCAGCAGCAACCGCCGTTGATCCTGTCGCAGGCTCTGCTGTCGCCATCGCCGCCGCTCAACGATCAGATCAACTTGCTTTTCCCCAAGTGCCGACCCAAACAGCAGCCGCAACAGCAGCAGCAGCAGCCGCAGCAACATCAGACAGCACAGCAGCAACATGCTCACCTGGCGGACGTGAATACCAACAGCAACAGCAGCAGCAATCGGAGCAGCAGCCCAACAACAGCCGGTGAACGGGAGCCGCTGGAAATTGTTGGTGCCAGTAGTAGTCCACCGCCGGCCAAGGCCACGCCCACCAGTACGCCCAGCTACTACAAGAGCGTGAACATCATAACGCAATCGCCGCCGCCTCACTCGGCCTCGTCTCACTCCTCCGAATCGCTTTCCTCGGTGACGCCGCGCATCTCCACGAATCCCTTCCTCTGCGCACCGCTCACGCCGCCCACACCGCCGCACCACCAGCAGCAGCAGCAGCAGCAGCAACAACAGGAAACGGAGGCCACCGGCGAGTCAGCTGTGGAGCGGAGCAGGAGCGGAGGAGCGGCCGGCGAGGAGCCCGACTATCCCGCCTCCTTCTACTACCACACGGTGGGCGAGAGTAGGCGTGGTCCCGGCGGCTACGCGGAAATGCCGAGAAAACGCAGCGCTGCTTTGCCAGCCAGCAACAGGCAGCAGCAGCAGCAGCAGCAACAGCAGCAACAACAGTTGCTCAACGGCAATGGGAGTCAGAATCCTTTCATCAAGGAGAACTACTGGGAGGCGCCGCCCACAAGAGCCAGTTTGCTGCTCCATTCGCCCACGGAGTACTCCGAGGAGCAGCAACAGCAGCAGCAACAGCAGCAACATATACATGCTTCGGCCAGACGAGCTTACCACCAGCAGCGGGAACAGGTGTACGGAATCAGTCAGCGGGCACAACAGCAACAGCAGCAGCAACAGCCGCACATTTTGCGGGTGGGAAGAAGTCCGGTGAATCGCAGCTTCTCCCAGCAGCAACAGCAACAGATTGCTGCTGCCAGGAGCAATCCCTGCGCCGATGGACTGACTCCGCTGGCCAGTCACTATCTGTATGGCAGCAAGTCATCACTGGATCAGCAGCCAGGCGACTGGGAGCCGCGGGAGCAGCGCAAACTGAGGCTGCGCGAGGAGCGGGAAAGGGAAAGGGAGAGGGAGAGAGAGCGAGAAAGGGAGAGGGAGCACCTGTTGCTGGAGCAACAGCAGCAGCTGCAACTACAGGAGGTTCAGGCGGCCAGGGAGAACCACCTCAGCCATTTGGTGGGTCAGCAGCAGCAGCAGCAGCGCAAGCGACATGTTTACGGCGAGGAACGGGATCGAGAGAGGGAAAGAGAAAGGGAAAGGGATCGAGAACGGGACTTGGAGCGGGACCATCGCCTGGTCAATGGAAACGCAGATCCCAACGAGAGCTGGCAGCGTAAGTAAAAACATAAATAATATGGTAAAACAAGAGAGAACGCTATAGTCGAGTGCTTCGACTATCAGTTACCCATTACTTAGCTTAAGGCAGAGCGAGGGAGATGGAGAATAAGCAAACAGCAAAGCAACCACGCCATCTAGCGGCGATATTATTGTTTGCTCACAGCTTTTTGATAAATATTAGCAAGTTAAATAAACTACAATTTTTATAGAAAAATAGGCCACCTAGAAATTCATACGGACAGACAAACGGACGGACATACGGACAGACTAGAACAATTGAACGAGTGATCCTAATCAGGAATCAGGAATTTATACTTTATAGGACTTTTCTGACATTTATATCCACTCAAAACTAAAAGAAACAAACCCCTTATGGGCTACAAACATTTTAGAGATTTTCATAAAAAGACAATTGACTAACAAATTCGCAGTAAAACCAATTTTAAATTCATACTTCATAGAGATACAGATTTATTAAAAGCCCATTTATTAAAAGCTATTAATTATTTTCTTAAATTTAAATGAAGTAAAGCCAGCAGGATTTTCATTTGTAAAGCATAATTTAGAGGGGAGTTTAGCTGGATCCTGGGGGGAACTGCATTTGCAGAGGGCACAAACCCTTTTTCCGGTTAACCCCAGTCCCATTTGAAGTGTTGCTTCTGTCCGAGCAGAGCAGCAACCTCTGCGGTTGCACGTGCCTGCAGCAATTTGCGGCTTGAAGGACTACATAGGACTGGCTCTTCAGAGGACCGAGCATTTCGGGGGCATTTCGGCCTGCGAAACCAATTTCCGACTGGCTGAATGCCGGACTGATAGACATGGGCCGGGTAATTGAATTGCAAATCATGCGTAATGAAGTGTACTGCAAATATGTATGAAACGGAGCAACAAAACATTGAAGTTGGATTGGGTTGGGCAAAATCCAGGGAACCAGAGAAGGGAAATGGGAAATGGGGGAGGGGCTGCGAACAAAGCGTAGGAAGCGCGCCAAAGTGGAATTTAATTGATTGCAATTAATTGGCATGCCAAGTATTGTTCCCCGAAGCCGAATCCTTGCTGTGCGACCCTCGTCATTGCCACCGCCCCTCATCCGAGCTCTGTTCTTCCCCATCTCTCATCTCATCCAGATCTGCGCGTAACGACCGAAACTTTGGCGGAGGTGGGCAAGCTGGCGGATAAGGTCCACCCCAATCTGAATCTGAATCTGAATCCGAACCCGAATCCGAACCAAGGTCAGAACACGGAGGTCAATGTCTACAGGGAGCACAAGCTGGACGCCTGGAAGCTCGAGCGCAACTACACGCTGGCCGTGGAGTCGCGCCACGGCATCATTGGTATACATATTTAGCAATAAAAATACAAAATTTCCCATTGAAGAGCCCCCTTAGCTTAGCAAACAAAATTATAGGTTTTCCTTTCAATTTGCTAAAAATATTGCATATCATTTTAAAGCCACTAAATATGGCAATTACTTTTTATTAATATCTCACAAAGAGTATGCTCCATTATATTATTTGCAATATTTTTTACGTCAGTCTATCAGTTGAAAACTTCTAAAGCGCTATAAAAAAAAGTTTGATTTAATCTTAAAAAAAAACAAAAAGAATACAAATTGCAATTCTGTGCTATCCACATTCCAAACTTAATTGAAGTAGTTCTAAAAAAAAATGTTGCCAATTAAAAACGTTTCTAAAAAAATAAGTAACTTTATTTGGTTTGGTTCCCTTGCGGCCCCCGTTTGTTATATACTTTTATTCAGAATCACTCGATCCACTTGAACGCGAATTTTAATCATTTTTATCCACAGAGTACGAAGGCTCGCCCAGACGCATTGGAGTGACCACCAGTAATTTGGGGCCAGTGACGGCGGCATCAGGGGCATCAGCGATAGCAGGAGCAGCGACACCAGCGGACGAAAGCGAACCACCAGCAGCGGTAGAAGTAGCAACAACACCACCACAACAACAACAACAGCAGCAGCAGCAACAGGTGCCCATGGCCGCCGTTCCGCCGCTGAGCTCCACGGCCACCTCGCTGCAGAAGACGGCGGCCCGGGCAGCACTGGCCGCCCTGGCCCAGAGCCACCCCCACAACTCCCACAACATCCTCAGCTCCCTGCTCCCGAACTCATCCAACCCGAACCCACTGAACCCCAGCCAGATGCAGATCCACTCGCCGCAGCAGCCCATGCAGAACTATCCCGTTCGTCCGGGCTTTCCACAGGTGGGTTCTTGATTATTATTATGTCTTAATGAAATTGCTGGGATCCACCTTAAATATATATTTTAATATCTATAAATGATTTTTTATTTACAAAATATTTATGATGATCTAAGTTTAACGAAACCTATTTATTATGAAAATTATTCGTGTCTTGATCATTATATATCTTTTACTTAAATCCAAAATAAATTTAAGTACCTACATATTTTTGTCAAAAACAAAATCTCAACTTTACAAAAAAAAAACATTTTTATCGATAAAACAACGGAAGTAATTATCTAAATGTAGATTGTCATACCTTTCTGAACTGGTTATTAAATTTCCAATCGATTGGCATTTAAACCTGGGCATTTTATTTTTTTGACATTTTTCAAAAAAATAATGATGTACCCCCTCATAAAAGAAATTAAAATTGGCAAAAATTTTATTTTTTCAAGTTCACCCGAAAAGTGTTATGGATTTAATTATTATTTTGTTATCTGTTCAAAACAGTTAGAATTTTTGGTGTAGGACCATTATTGGCCAAGTTACAGCAAAAAAACAAAAAGAAAAAATTTGACTAATGAAAACTACATAATAGGACAATTTATCAGTCTGTATTATTATTTACCTATTTATATCATATTGCCAGTCTAAAGTTCTTGTAGTGCATTCATATATAATTTGATGTTATGGGTGTATTTAAAATTTAACATTGACTGTGTTCATTTAATCGCAGCGCATCATCTCGCCACCCAATCGTGAGCCCCGCAGCAACTCGCCTCCTCTGCAACAGCAGCAGCAACATCAGCAGCAGCAGCAACATCAGCAGCAACAACACTTTGCCAGTCTGATGAGCAACCACAGCAACAACTCGAACACCAACAAGCAGCCGCTGAGCAGCGACAACAACGCCGAGGACACCAGCAACGATGTGTCCGAGATTGGCACCATATCCGACCTGACCGCTCCGGAGGCAGTGGGTCTGGGCCTGGCCATTGGATCCGCCGCCGGCGAGGTGGCCAGCCGGGCGGCCACGCCCCCTCTTTTGGCACTCGGGCCACCGACAGCAGTCGCGGGCAGCTCTGCCAACGGAACTGCAACGGGAAACGGAAGCGGAAATGGAAACGGAAACGGAACCGTAAGCGGAAATGCAACAGCAGCGGCCACCGGACTGGGTCCACTGAGCCTGCACACAAAATCGTCGACCTTCGATTACCTCTACGAGTTCTCGGAGACGCGCAAGGTGCTGGAGGAGTTCTTCAAGTGCCCCTCCACCGACGAGCAGCCCATAATGGAAAACGGCAGCGATGTGGACAGCATTGTGAGTACAGATCAGAGCAGTAATCAATATTTTGAAAATATAAACCAATTGAGTAGTACATAAGTATTAAATAAATACTACTTGCAAATAATAACAAAAGTAATTAAATCTATGAACTTAACAATTTTAGTTAAGTTCATTCAAGATTCATTTAAATTGCTTCACTGTTTATCATCAAAATATTTCATATTCAATTTAAATATTTTTCGGTATGCATTATCCATTGCGGTTTTTATTATTTTAAATATGAAAATATTATTATTAACATGTATAGTTATTTTAAATATGAAAATCTTTTTTTTTTTATGACTTAAAATACTTAATGTAAATATAATTAACAACGAATCTAATATATTCTACCTTAATTAAAATAATTTCTAATTAAATCAAGCAATCTAATATGTTTTGTATTAGATTTTGTATTTAATTCAAATATGTACTACGCATCTTTGCACTCAATATCCAGATATTTATTTTTACAATTTCATTTTTGTATAAGTGTTTAAAATATTTATTTCCTTTTCCCGCAGGACATCCAGTACGAGTTCCACAGCAACTTTGAGCGCGACGACGAGGATTTGGCCGAGGAGGAGGAGGCCGAGGACGACGAGGAGGGCGACGACGATGCCGACGAGGAGAACGACGAGGCCGAGGATGAGGACGAGCCGTTGGGTCAGGATCGCGACCAGAACTACCGCCAGCAGGCGCCTCCCACCGCCGGCCACGCCTCCGAGCGACTCGTCTACGGCGGCTACGGTGGCCAGCAGTCGCAGCCCCAGCTGATTTCCCAGCCCCTGGGCGTTGGCATGGGCGTGGGTGTGGGCGTGGCACGGCGACACTACAGCGGCAGTCCGCTGATGCGGGACTTCGACTTCTTCCTGGACTCCACCAGTCGGAGCAGCGGCGAGCGGGACGGCGACCAGGACGGGCTCAATCACAACCAGCTGCTGAGCACGGGCAGCGGCCCAGGGGGCGTGGGAGTGGGCGTGGGCCCGGGCGGTGGCCACAACTACCGCTACTCACCGGAGACCACCGACTACGACTCCAATTGCGGCGATCTGGACAGTAAGTGAAGGCTGACCTAAACCTGAACCTAACCTGAACCTAACCTTAACCTAATCTAAACTTAGCCTAGGGCTAACCCAAACATAATCTAGACCTAACCTGAACCTAGCCTAAACCTAAAGTAAACCTACCCAAAACCTAACCCAAACCTAACCTAAGCCTAACCTAAACATAATTTAAACCTAATCGAAGCCTAACCTAGGGCTAACCTAAACCGAACCGAAGCCTAGCATAAACCTAATATAAATCCAGCCTAAACCTTACCTAACCTAAACTTATCCAAAACTTAAACAAACCTAAGCCTAACCTAAACATAATCTAAACCCAACCCAAGCCTAGCCTAAAACTAAGATAAATCCAGCCTAAACCTAACCTAACCCTTACCTAACCTAAACTTATCCTAAGCCTAAATTAACCCAAGCCTATCCTAACCCGAGATTAACCTCACTCTTCCATTTCTTCGCCCAGGTCTCTCGGGTGAGATGAACGGCGGCGTGTCGACCTCCTGCTCGAACTACGCCAAGTACTACGCCTCGGCCATGCCAGTGCTGGAGGATGGGCTCTCCTCGGGTCACACCAGCGACACGGAGAACAACAACAACAACCAGAAGAACAACCTGCAGCAGGCGGCGGCCCAAGGGCAACAGGGTCATCAGGGTCAACAGGGTCAACCGCAGTGCCCCACCAGCCTGAGCGGAAGCACCAGCATCGGCGGCGGCATCTCCATGCTGATGGACATGAAGCGCGTCTCGACGAACAACAGTTTGAACAGCATGCACAACCTGACCACCACCGCCTCCACCACGGACAGCAACGGGGGCGTGGCCGGTCACCACCTGGTGGCCACGCCCAGTCCCAGCAATGGGCAATCGAAGGGGCAGCCGCAGAGCAACCAGCCGAAGACACTGTCACTGGACCAGAGTCCCAGCAACAACCACAGCAAAGTGTTCAAGAACATTGATCCGGAATTGGATTCGCTCTACTCGATTGGTAAGTGCGCGTCGTTGGAGATTTTATTTTATTTTGAAATAACGTTAGGTGCAGACTTTCGAAATCGAGTTTTGAAAGACAAACAATTGAATTAGAATGTTGTTAATTCAAATAAATTTAACTTATATTTAATTACATTCTAATATTGTGAACCTTGATTTAAATATTTGTAAATTAAATGTAACAATAATATATGTTTTGTTTTTAAAGTAATATTACATAGTAAAATATGTAATACAAAAGTTTAAATTCAATATGCAAACAATTTAAGAAGCAGACGAGAAAAGTCTCTGTATGCTATTAAGGTTTTTTTCATTAAAAACCGTATTAGATCCTTTAATTTCTTTTTCTATGTTTATATTATGGTTTTGACTTTCAACCATTGTTGTTTTCACTAATATTATAGTAAGTCCTATATGAAAGTATATTATTTTACAATTAGAGATCAGTTTTTAACTATGATTTTATTATGATATTTTTGTTCATTAAATTAAAGAATGCTTAAAATGCTTAAAGTAAATATAATAGATTTACTAAAATCTATTATCTTATATTTTCTACCATTATACAAATATTGTACAAATTAATCATGAAATTTAATATGATTTTAATTTTGAATTTAACAAATTAAATCAAGTATACAATTCTAAATCTAATAAATTTAACGAGTACTACTTCTACTACTACTAATCAAATATTAAAGAATATTGAATAAAAAATGCAGATATTTATTTGTACCATTTCTTCTTTCCAGGAGTCTTCCACCGTCCGGACACGGTGCAGATGACCCCACCGCCTCCTGCTCCGGCGCCGCATCGCAAGCCCAACAACAATGGCAACGGCAATGCCAATTCCAATGCCATGGTCAACAGTAATGGCACCGGCAACAACGATGTGGATCTGCTGCAGCCGAGCAGCAAGCACACTCACACTCCGCTGGCGGCGGCCATCAGTTCCACGCTGCAGCGCAGTTCACCCACCTTGGCGGCCAGCGGAAACGGAAATGGAATGGGAATCGGAATCGGAAGTGGCAAGCCCCGAAGCGCCGGCAGCAATTGCAGCAGCATTGGCGTGCCGCCGCCCATTCCGGAGAGGAGCAACCTCCCCAACGTCGCCGCCACGCAGAGATCACCGTCGCCGGGCCTCAACTCACCCGTCTGGCTGTCCCGCAAGGAGGGGCTGCTGGAGTCCGGCTCCGATAACAACCACTCGAAGAACCACAGCGCCGACGAGGAGGACGTGGACACCGATCTGGAGACGGACCGCCTGCTGGGCCACCAGCGGCTGGACGACCAGGGCTACTACGACGAGAACAAGAGCTGGGACCGCAAGCCGCGCTCGCTGCTCTCGAAGATCTCGCCCAAGCAGCAGATGCCGAGCACCAAGACGCGCAACGGCTACAATGCGCTGCTCAGCTCCACGCCGGAGCTGCCGCCCCCGATTCCACCTAAGGGAGGCATGGGCAACATGGGCAACGGGGGCAAGCTGCTGGACTTGGTCGGCGGCATGGTGCAGCGCAGCATATCGCGCAGCTCCTCGGAGCACTCGGACAAGTGCTCGCCCAGCAAATTGGGGATGCCCCTTTCCATTTCCGGCGGGGATGTGGATGTGGTGGCCTCGGCGGTGGCGGCGGCGGCGGTGGCGGCAGCCTCTGCCACATCGACGGCGGCTGAAGCGGCGCTGGGAAGTCCGGGGAATGGAGGAGGCTCGGAGAGATCGACGGCGGGCGGCGGCGGCGGCGGACTGACCAATCCGGGAGGAGCGGTCAAGTTGGTGGAGCCGGAGAACGCAGCCCTCAACGGGGGAATGACTTCTGGAGCGGGCACAGGATCGGGAGCAGGATCGGGATCAGGATCTGGAGCGGCCAATGGAACCGCGGTGGCCACCACCGCCACCGCCAACAACAACAACAACGTCGGCAACAGCAACAGCAACAACAGCAGCGGCAGCGGGGCCGGCAGCAACAGCAACAGCGGCGAGAAAAAAGTGAAAAAGAGTAAGAGCAAAGAAGGTAAATGCGTTGGGTTTATCCTTCGTTCGATTGTTCCTGTGTATTTAACCATTTAACCATATAATCGTATATATATATCAATTACCAATATATCTTGTGGCCTGCCATGTTGTCGGTGTGCATTGATGTTGTCGATTGTCGGTTGTCGATTGTCGGTTGACGTTGTCGATTGACGTTGCCGATTGTCGCAACGTAACGCTAAATTTCGATTACGATAGCAGAGCGAAATTCAAAATTCTATCTTGGCTGCGTAAATACGAAATTACAAATTGTACAATGTGTAAATTGATTATCCTTATATGCCATTCTTGATCCAGATAATCCGTATTAATCGTATTTATATATTTACCTATCATTTCTCTGTATTCTTTCGCATATTTATTTGCGTATTTTTGCATGCGTCGTTCGTTCGTTCAACCAAATCAAAACCAAACTCTACTCTTCATTTTACTGTGTCTGTGTGTGTGTACAATACTTTGTAAGATAAAATTCCATTACGTAATAGTACCTAAGATCCAACACTAACAATATGACACGAAACAACAGACTATTGAGAACTTGGGCAGTCTATAATATAATAGTAATAAAATTCGATATATTTTTCTTCATATTTAATTTTAAAATACTTGCAAAAAAAGTTGAAAAGATCATTGGGACTAGCCTAAAGCTTTCTTAAGAAATTTTCACGATAATATTGCCTTAATTTAAAGATGATGATGATTTTAAAGCTCTTTTCATAAACTGAACTTTAGATATTCTTTTAAATATGATAAATAAAATGCAAGGTGTTAATTCTTACACCAAAAAAAAATCCTTGAAACGTAACTATTCGTTCATTAATTCTAAACTATTGAGATTCAAAAATATCCTAATAAGTTGAGCCTTACATTAATACTTTTTGGTATGGTATTACGCCTACAAACTAGAAACATTATAAAATTTAATATGAAATAATTACTAGAGAGTTCAGACTTTATAATAGTTAAACAGAAGATTGTAGTACCGAGACGTACCACACATGCACGTACACTAATCAACTTATACTCCACATGTACTCTGTGACCCCCGACCTTAATTCAACTGACCTTCTAACCGGACTCTCCATCTTCTCACCAACTGCAGGCGGCGCAGTGCTCATCGAGGGCGTTCTCTTCAGGGCCAAGTACTTGGGCTCCACGCAGCTGGTCTGCGAAGGTCAGCCCACGAAATCCACGCGGATGATGCAGGCGGAGGAAGCCGTTTCCAGGATCAAGGTAAAGTTCCCCCAGGCATTTAGAAACCGATAATGCTCGCCCGACTCGATCGATTGCTTCGATCAGCTTGAGTTTCATTTGTGCCACAATCGGTTCTGTATTCGTAGTGCTTAGGAACCCCTCCAGTCCCACAAGAACTCTAGATCAGAGATTGCCACAACTCAGTTTCTGTTGCTGCAACATAAATCTTTAAAATAGTGGTAGTTTTATAAATAAGAACTTGTTTTTTCCTTGATGCTCTATTAATTTTTTTCGAGGTTTTACTCCTCAGATAAAAAAAAGTAATCAATGCTAACGATTTTTTAATAATTTTTTAAATATAAAAATCTTAATTAGATTGTGACATTCCCCTGAGCTGCTCCCCCAGTTACCTTTAGTACTCATGAACAAAATTATCAGCTATTTTTGATCCCTCTGATCTCCGATTTTTTATTTGCCACCCGCACTCGACTCTATTATCCCAACACCACCCAACGCAACTCCCACCACCCACTAGCCCCCGACCCGCCGTAAGCGACCTTGTGCTAAGCTGATTGAAGGACCGACCTCGAGAGCAAAGAAACGGGAAACTCATTAACTGTTTACTGTTATATTTTCATGCATCACCTCCTCCACATCAAATGCTCCGCATCCGCGACGACCAACCACGCTAACCAAACCACGTATCGCCATGCAAATAATAAAACAAAAAAAATGAAACCAAAAAAAAAAAAACAATAAAATTCGCATAATAGGCGCTGGTAAGTAATAGAAACACTAGCAATATCCACTGACCCCCGGAAACCACCCACCCAACTAACCAACCACTAACCCACCTCTAACCTCTGGTTTGCCTGATTTGCCTTGAATTAAATTGGATCGAAGACATTTGGCCCGCTGTAATTCTTGTGTTACCCAAAAGCGAAGCTTGACCCCTCGAGATCCCGCCAAATCCCAGTTCCAGAACCTGAAATTCTTGAATTCTCCTGAAATTAACCTCCGGTTAAACCAATTTCCAGGCACCCGATGGCGATGTGCAGCCCAGCACCGAGGTGGATCTGTTTATTTCGACGGAGAAGATCATGGTCCTGAACACGGACCTCAAGGAGATCATGATGGACCACGCCCTGCGCACCATCTCCTATATCGCGGACATCGGGGACCTGGTCGTCCTGATGGCCCGACGCCGCTTCGTTCCCCAGGACATCGACGATGCCCCCAAGCCGAATCGCACGCCCAAGATGATATGCCATGTGTTCGAGAGCGACGAGGCCCAGTTTATCGCCCAGTCGATTGGCCAGGCCTTCCAGGTGGCCTACATGGAGTTCCTCAAGGCCAACGGCATCGAGGACCATCGCTTCGTCAAGGAGATGGACTACCAGGAGGTGCTCAACAGCCAGGAGATCTTCGGCGACGAGCTGGAGATCTTTGCCAAGAAGGAGCTGCAGAAGGAGGTGGTCGTGCCGAAGGCCAAGGGCGAAATCCTGGGCGTGGTCATAGTGGAGAGTGGCTGGGGCTCCATGCTGCCGACCGTCGTCATTGCCAATCTGATGAGCTCGGGAGCAGCCGCCCGGTGCGGGCAGCTCAACATCGGCGACCAGTTGATAGCCATCAATGGGCTGAGCCTCGTGGGACTGCCGCTCTCCACCTGCCAGACGTACATCAAGAACACCAAGAACCAGACGGTGGTCAAGTTCACGGTGGTGCCCTGCGCCCCCGTCGTCGAGGTGAAGATCAAGCGGCCGGAGACCAAGTACCAGCTCGGGTTTAGCGTCCAGAATGGAGTGGTGAGTAACCCCTACATGTAAATCATGTAATATAAAATAAAAAAGTGGTATTCAAAAAGTATGCAACCACCCACAACCAAACCCTGGGCTTTACCACACTCAAAAAAAAATCGATATGTAACGTAGATCGATTTTACATTATTTAAGATCAATTTCAATTTGATATGTGGCCAGGTAGATTTGACCCTGTCGAAAAGAGTATTTCATGTAAAAACGATATGGGTTTGGCATGATCTGAAATTTACATGGCCATATCGATTTTACGGGATTATACGTGCATCCTGTAAGATCTTCCACTAAATGAGTGTCCTTCTTCCCTTGCAGATCTGCAGTCTCCTGCGCGGCGGCATCGCGGAACGGGGTGGTGTTCGTGTGGGCCATCGCATCATCGAGATAAACAACCAGAGCGTGGTGGCTGTGCCTCACGAGAAGATCGTTAACTTGCTGGCCACATCCGTGGGAGAGGTACTTAAACATATATACCTTAGTAATTAATAATATCGATAATAATATTTCTCCAATTCCAGATACTCATGAAGACGATGCCCACGTCCATGTTCCGCCTGCTCACTGGTCAGGAAAATCCCATATATATTTAAGCCAGCGGGAGAATAATAAACGGCGATTATTGTTAACTATAAAAACCTAACAAGGATATTACGATATTTAGTATATATATACCTATTCATATAGAAAGCGAGGAAAACAGAGAGAGAGAGAGTTAATATATGTATGTATATGCGTGTGTACCTATATATATAAATATATATATATATATAGATATATGCTAAACATATATATTACACACGAGTGTATCGAGATTTTTTTTGTGAGTAAACTAGACAAAGTTCGATCGAAGGCGAGTTAAGAGCAGCTACTACGACAAATAAGAGGAAGCGATAACTAACACACATGGCACGCCTTTTTGCAAAGCTTAGTAATAATAGTTAATAATGTGTGTGAGATCGGGCCATCGGCCAGGACATGCATATGCATATAAACATGAAACAATATATATACACATATATATGAACACAATGACCTTTTTGCGAAAACGTCCTTAGCTTAGTTGAACGGCGACATTAGTCAGAGAATACTGCAGCTAGTAACAGCCCCCCCAAATATGCTTACCCATACTTATTGTAAAAACCAAAAATAAAATCCAGGAAACACGAACCGAAGACCCAAACGAGATTCAAGTCCACACAGGAGGCAGGCAGCTCTTTTGATATAGTATATATATAATCCACACACTATATAGCACCACCCCAATATATTTATATAACAAAACAGAGGGCGCGAGAATGGATAGCTTGAAATGGATATAAGAATGAAAATAGGAAATGGATATGGAAATGGAAATGGATATTGTAACTGCAGCGTTTCGTTTTCTACTCGCACCCATAGCCGAGAATTTTGATAGTTATTTAACGGATATAGCCAGATCGTAATGTATGCAAAGTGTAAATTGAGGAGCGCTTTACACCCCCACAAATACATACATATTCCCCCATAGAGGATTTAGTTTAGCAGACACTTACACTCACACTCACTTAGACGCTTCGATTTCAACCATCTTCGTCCAAAAATTGTGCTACTACTCGTTAAACAAGTTGATAGATATAGAGAGAGATTAGAGAAGGATAACAGGAGGGCAGGAGAGAGAGACGGAGAGAGGAAGGGAAGGCCGGCGAAGAAAGAGACAGAGTTAGACCTCCGTTATGAGCCATAAGATTTAAAAGAAGACGGAGACGGGGAACAGACTCGAACAGAAAGAGACGGCAACAGGAACGGAAATAGAGACAGAAATAAGGGCAGACAGAGAGGGAGAATTGCATTTCTTTGTGTGTATATGTATGTGTAAAATACTCGCTATTGGCCCAAATGCAATCCACGAACAGCCGGCATCAGCAGTCACTAAGAGAACTATTATTAACTACCAGTACGATTTAATTATGTAACGGCAACAGGGCATTTGCTTGATGTTTGTGAATTGAACGACTTTTCGGCCTCATTTCCGCTGCTTGGCACGGGCCACGCCCACGCCCACCAAAAATCCAAGAACAAAAACCAAATTAATATACAAAACAAGAACATAAAACATTAACAACTGCTTCAGCAAACCAATGAGATGACATGAAACCGAAACAAATGCATACAAGAACTAATATTTAATGAATTGTTTTTTTTTTTTTGGTGTACATTATTTATATGGAATGTGAAATTGCATAACAAATTTAATGAATATATTGAATATTTATTAAAACGGGCTAATTGCATAGAAATTATATAAGAACGATCATAACGATGATTATTTGTAAAGGCGAACTAAACCCAAGAAAACCGAAAACAGAATAAATAAATAAAAGAATATATAATCACATGCATAACAAAAATATAAAACCAAAAATTGAGCATAATAAACAGAAAATGGAAAAAACCCTTTACGAGTTTCATTTGGTAATGGTTCAGGAAATGTTTTCTGGTACTTTGGTAGTTATCACTGTGGACGACAGCAAACGTAGTGACAGTTCAAAACAGTATGTATTTTTGGTATAGGACCATTTTTGGCCATGTTATTTTCCAATCCAATTTTTTTCAAAAAATTAAATCCCGAACTTCCAAAATAAAAACAAAACGGGTTTTTCCGCAAAAACAAAGCAGTTTTTTTCGCTAAACCAAAAAAAATACTGATTCAAAGTATGGATTGTCATACCTTTCTGAACTCGGTTTTAAATTTCCTAACGATTGGCATTTAAACCTTGACATTTTATTTATTTTTAAATTTTTCGCAAAAAATTATGGGGTTCCCCCTTATAAAAAAAATTAAAAATTGGCGAAATTTGTATTTTTTCAAAATCACGCGAAAAGTGTTCTGGATTTATTGATAATTTTGTTATCTGTTCAAAACAGTACGTATTTTTGGTGTAGGACCATTTTTGGTACAAGGTACAAGGAACAGCAAAAAAACCAAAAGAAAAAATTCCAATTTTTGTCAAAAACTGAAATCCCGAATTTCCAAAAAAAAAAACAAAACCGGGTTTTTCGTTAAAACTAAGGAAATAATGATACAAATATGGATTGTTTAGCCTTGAAGGTTTGATCTGAACACAAAATTGAAAATAACTCCCAAACCCCTCGTTCTCCCATTAATACGCTCATGACCTTTCGGTTACTGTGTTTGGAAATAATGTTTATTGACGAATACTTTTACTTGCATTGTTTCATTTGCTTACTTTGTATCATTTTATACATGCAATTGTAAGAAATTGATTTCCAACTTCTTTTCCGAGTTCATTTTTTATTTTTCCGGTTTTGGCTATGGCAAAGTGTGTATATCTATATGTATATGCATCTATATATATTTGTGTATATAAGTAATATGTTCACGGTCATTTAATCTGCACACACAACAATCAAAATTGGATTTTTATGACAAACAAGTTTCCCATTAATTTTGCATCTTATTCGTACTTTTTGTTCTATATGTGTGTGTGTTAATGTGCACTTTCCCAAAAAAAAGAATGGCGACGCCATTTCCGCTTCCGCTTTCCATGCCAATGACAACCGACAAAGTCATTGAAATGCATTCGATTCAACTCTGTTTGATGTCAAACGCCTGCTAATTTTTCAGCTCCTAGAACCCCATTTGTTGGAGATTGGGGCATTTATGTGTTCTGCTTACTTAGAAGCCCTCAAGAAGCTGCATTAAAATTTATCTAAGTTCGCCCGATGCGAACCCACTTAACAACTATTGGTTACCATATAAACTTTCTCCAATATCCTGGATCCTCTACATCGTTTTTATACATTTTTCGTTTTTTAAGTTTGTGGGGAACGCGAGTGGAGAAACATTATCGATTTACAGTTGCGATGTTCTCAACCGTTACTCAGCTCAAGGGCCTGTAATAATTTAGCTAATTTCATTAATTTTGCTTTGATAATAGTTTTTTTTTTAAGATTTAGAAGATGTCAACAAAAAAGACGCAAAATGTCAATTCAAAAATATATGTGTATATATATGTCTTTCTATATGTGTGAATATATATACGAGTTTTTTGGGCCTGGGACTTTATTTTGGATAAATTTTAACTATTCAAAATGAGTGAGACAAAAATTTAATTTAGCTTACAATTCAAAAGTTGTAAGTGTTTCATTCTCTCTTCGTTTTCAGCAAATATTGCGCATATGTTTTGGGTTCAATTTCTTATCGAGTGAATTGGGGGTGTGTGTAAATATTTGAACTATGTTATATATGTAAAAAATCTCATCGTTTGTGTGTTTGTACTTGTTAGAAAATCACGCAGATATGCTGAAATTATCCAACCGAGTCCGAATCCAAATCTGAATCAATCAATCTAACCAAAATCCCGTCTGAACCAAAGTAATGCCCTTGCAAAGCCGTCTCAGCGTTCCTCCGTCTTCCGATTTCCACAATCCAATGCTTCTGTCCTTTTATCCTTTCTCTTTCTCATTATCCTCATTCTTATCGATATATCCTGCCTTTGGTGCCCTTCGTCTAAGCCTAATTCTATATTTCTATATTTGTTATCGTACATCGAACTTATGCGTCTCCTAATGCTAATATAACTATCGGATTCGTTATGTAGAGATAAATGGAAAGCTTTATGTATAGATAGAATGGATTAATGGGGGTATAGAAGGGAAACTATAGAAACAGAAACGGATGTTTGTATAAATTGCACATAACTTTTACTTAGCACTTAATTACTACTACGACTTACAAACACATTTTCTCATTTTTTCATTTTCTGATGCCTTTATATGTTTGTCAAGTTGGGGTTTTCTTTGATAAAAAGTTTCAATTAGTTCGATACTCCTCGCCCTTCGTCGAGTGTGTGTGTGTGAGAAGGATATATATATAGGCTAATATATATAATTTACAATTCTTACTAAGGTTCCACATATCTACGCATATGTTTTGTATTTGCAATTGGCACATCATTTCTAAAAGAGTCAATCAAATCAAAATGCTTGATGGTCACTTGCTCATTCGTTCTCCTATTCGTTTACGAGTGTGTTTTGTATTTTGTATTGCACAATATGCAGCCCGAAAATAAGCTGAAAAATAACAATGAAAAAAAGAACCAAAAATCCAAAATAATAAACAAAGGAAATTAGTTAACTAAACCATTTACTAAACATTTATTGAAATCAAGTATTGTTGTGTTGTGGTGCACACAAGGCAAAGACAAATGAAACCAACTCAAAAGTTAAACTCGCCTACAACTAATTGCATTATTTGAATTGGGTATTTGGGTAATAGTAGGTGTAGGACAAAAAAAAGTAATTGCTTGTGTTTAAATTATAACTCTACTTAGACGCTTCTGTTGCGCAACTTAAGCTAATCCAATCAGTAATTAATATTTATGCGTGTAATTCATAATTATAGGTGTAAAATGAATAGAAAACATAGTCTTACTAACTAATTCAATAGTATAGGTGTGTTGTTGGTGAACAAAATTCAATTCGTCGCTCGTCTTTCCCGGCGCGTTTCGAAACACATTCTTGGTGATAAAGTATACAAAAAAAATAGGTGAAAAACGATTTTCTATTAAGGCAAATTAGGTTAAAGCGCCACTTCGCAGCTGCAGTTGCAGCTCGTCGGTTACTAAAGTTAAACATAACATAAAGCTGCCAAAGCCAGGTGTGTGTGTGTGATTGTGTGTTCGATTTGATTTGGTGTGTCTAAAATTAAATCTAAATTCCGTTTTAGTTCAACCAAAATTTGCCACCGCTTTGGCTTACAATTTCACTCAGCATAGTCTGTGCATACGCTTTACATTTAATTCTATGTATTAATCATTTCCATTATTACTTCTTTCCCTTCTTCATATTTCTTTCTTTTGCGATTCAAATTGTTAATTGCTCAACTTTGCGTTTGCCTGGGTTGCACACAACAAATTTCACTAAATTTATTTTACAAAACATTAAAGGATTTCGCCTCCAGCAGCTGATTCATTTGTTCTCTCCGCTCCATGTGCTTCCAAAATAATTAGCTTGGACCGAAGCGAGTTTGTTTGTTTTTTAAAGGTCTTAAAATTAATTTAACAGCTTATCGACTTTCGACTTTCCGGGTGCTCCTTTTGCATATTCTCCTCCCTTTGCCTCTATTTAAAGGTGGGAAAACTGAACGAGCGGCCCTCGAACTTAAGAATTGGTGTTGTTCAGCACTAACTCTAGATTAATATAAGCTTTAGTTGTGGTTCTAGTTTCTCTTGTTATCCTTCATCTCTCGTCTGCTCTTCTTTCTTTGTTGCTGCTGCGTAAACTAGTAAATGCTACAAAATAGGATAGGGTCAGCAGCTCTGGCTGATGGCGCCGCTGCCTTTAGGCCGCCGTATCCACCTCCTCGACAATGTGGTTGGGCGACACTTCGCTGGGCGGTGCTGCTGTTGCAGCTGTTGCTGCTGCTGCGGCTGCCGTTGCTGCTGTTGCGGGTGCCGTCGAAGTGTTGCTGTTGCTGGCATTGGTGTTGCTGCTGCTGCTGTTGTTGCTTGCGGGTGCAGCTTTTCCAGCAGCTGGTTGCAGTGGCGTGGCCACCAGGGCGCTCACGGCACTGTACTGTACTCCTCCGCCGGCGGCCGACGAGGAGAGGCTTCCAGCCGCCGAGGCTGCGGCGGGCGTGGCATAGGGACCGCTCTTCAGCTTGCGCGCCTCCCGCTTCTGCTTGTGCTGCTGCATCACCAGGCGCAGCTGGTCCATCTTCGAGCGGGTCTTCATGTTGGCCAGCTCCACGGTGCACTTCTGGCACGTGTGCTCCCGCTCGCGCTCTCCTTGACCCTGGTTATCATCCCGCCGGTAGCGACAGCTGCAGCCGTTGCTCTGACTGCTGACCAAACTGCTGGGCGACTCCGCCTGGCAGCAGCTGTGCGAGGAGGACTTGGAGCTGGCGGAAGCCTTGGAGGAGCTGGAGTGATAGCTGGGGCAGTCACGGAAGGAGCAGCCGCCGCTGGCCAGAGCAGCCGACTGCTGCTGCTGTTGCTGCTGGGCGCGACTGTTGCACTTGGCGCAGTTGTGATGCTTCGAGGAGTACTGCAAGTAGGTCAAAATATTAGAAATAATATTCTTTAAAAGTATATTAGCTACCCTTACCACTTTGCTGCGCGACCCATGATGCATCCCGCTGCTGGAGGAGTTCGTCGAGGAGGAGCCACTGCTGCCGGAGGATCCCGAACCCGATACCGAGGATCCCGTGGTCGGTGCCTCGAAGCTGATGCGCGCACCTCGACCATATTGCGGCGTGGCACTCAGCAGATCGTTGAGAATGTGAATCACCGTCGAGATGTCGCGCTTGGGCCGCCCATAGCGATCCTGCAGCGCCGGATTCAGGGTGCCCGAGAAGGTGCCCGAGTAGATGCCCTTGCCGTGGTTCTTCATCGACTCGATGACGGCTCCCGAGCCGCCCTTGCGCGTCGGCTCCTCGCCACTGGCTCCACTGGATGCACTGGATCCGCTGGATCCACCGCTGCTCGAGCTGCGGCTGCTGCTGCTCACCACGCCGGCGCCGGACAGATCGATCTTGTGGGTGAACACCTCCTTGGAGAGTTTGCGCAGTGTCTGGGTGAGATTCCGCGAGGCCTCGGCCAGAGTCCTGGTGTCCGACACGCCCAGCAGCGAGTCCTCGGGTTCGCTAGCTGTGCTGGTGCTAGCTGTTGAGCCTCCTGATCCTGCTGATGATCCTCCTGCTGATGATGATGCTCCTCCTGCTGCTGCTGCTGCCATCGCCTGTTCCAGCTTGCGACGCGACGACGAGGAAGACGAGGAGGATGAGGAAGACGAGGCAATGGCGGCTGCATTAACCGACGACTGGTTGCCGGCGCAGCTGTGGTGGTAATAGTGGCTACTGCTGCTGTGACCGTGACTGTGGCCATGTCCATGGTAGTGACGATGCTTGGTCCTGGTGATGCGGTTATTGCCCGTCTTGTGCAGCATCGAATTCCCCGAGAAGGTGACTCCAGCGCCCGTTGAACGTGCCGCAAATCCGGCATTCGCACCGCCGCAACTCGACTCGGGGCACTTCCCCGGCGAACTGGTGGCTCCTGATGCAGATCTGCCCACCGGAGCAGCGGCGGAGGCGGGAGGGGCCACCAGCGGAGGCACCACCGACGGCGTGGGCAGGCGCGTGCACAGGCACGAGGTCAGCTTGGCGGCTATGGGATCCTGCTGACAGCCGCCGGCGGTGCAGGCACCACTGGAAGAAGCAGAAGAAGACGGGCTGGAGGCGGCGGCGGAGCTGCAGCTGCAACTCGAGGCGGCAGCCGTCGTGGGCAGGGGAATGTTCTTGATGGCCGTCATCTTGATGGGACTGGACACGAGATTCGACAGCGACTTGATGGGCGAGGGCTCCAGCGGGGGTTTGCCCGGACTTGATGATCCTCCGCCGCCATTGGAGGCCACAGGTCGTGCATCCTTGAGGGCGAAGCTCTTGACGATATTCTGGATGCCGCCCTTGATCAGCAGCTTGGTGAGATCGGGTCCGTTCTGGGCCTGCCCGGTGGTGCCGGCGCCGGCGGTTCCTGCCCCCGAATTAGCTGCTCCCGAGGAGCTGGGCAAATCGCCGTACATCTTGCGCAGCGAGGACATCCCACCGCCGCTGCCCGCAGCCACCGCCGAGGCGTTGTGATGATGGTGGTGATGGTGGTGGTGATGGTGATGATGATGCCCATGCCCGTGGCCATGGCTGTGCCCGTGTCCATGACCATGTCCATGCCAGTTGGCGGCATGCAGGCTCGGATGCTGGTGGCTGTGCACGTGGCCATGTCCGATTCTTCCACTTGATCGCTGGCCAGATGAGCGTGTTCTCGACGAAGATGAAGTGGATGATGAGGATGAGGAGGTGGTGGCGCCACCGGTTCCGGTGCTTCCGCTTCCGCTTCCTCCTGCCACCGCCAGCACAGCCGACGACGAGGAGGAGGATGAGGATGTGCCGGTGGAGCAGCCAGTGCCAGCTGGCATTGCAGACGCCGATGACGATGACGTTGTGGTGGCGGCAGCGGTGGTGGAACCACCTGTGGCCGCAGACACTGTGGCACCACCGCCACCCGCCGGATTAACCGTGCTCAGCTGCAGCTGGATGAGCATCATGTGGTCGCCGAGCCGCATGCTCAGATTGAGCGGTGTCTTGCCGCTGAGGAAGTCATTAACCTGCGAGTCGTTAAGCGATTCCAGCGCTTGCATAACCGTATTCTCGGGACGCTGAGCCTGCAACGAAGGAAGGGGAGAATTCAGGGGTTACTAATGGGATCATTAAGCATAATATACACTGATAAAAGAGATTACATTTTTAATTTAAATATTTATCGCAATTTATTATTTTTATATACAACAAGAGAGAACTAATAATGCAGCAAATCGACTGCTTGAACTGCTTGCACTGCTTGAACTCTATTATTATCTCATAACTTTGTAATGAATGGTCAGATTTATAAAATTCTTTCGACATTTCGATGGGTACATTATTTATTGCAGCTCTATACTCCCAACTCTATAGACACTGCCCCCTGCTTTCAATAAGAGTTACATAAAGACATACCGCATTCCAAGCAGATGAATTATGCCCGTCGTCATTTCCATTTCCATTCCCTTTTCCTATCGACCTAGACCAACTACTACTATTCACAAACCCCCTTTTTTCAGAACGTACTTATTACTTCTGGCGCTGTTGTTATTCTACGTGATTAAATGCGACGCCTTTGTGTTGCGTTCAAATATTTGCGAATAAAGCAGGCGTTAAAGTTGCGTCACAGAATGAAAATAAAGGGATAGAAAATATGGTGTCCCAAGAATAAACTATATTAAAGCCCGTTATGAAAACAGCAGTGAAACGAAAAGTAATTGCGAAAAAATTAAGAGCAGCGAAAAGGCAACAAAAGGCAAATATATAGTGAGTATGTATATATTGCGACTCAGTTCGAAGTTTGATTTTTGTTTTTAGAGGTCTGGGTCTGGGTTAATTAATCATTTCCATTGCATATGCACGTACAATGGCGGTCAAGCAATTAGTAGCGATTACTCTAGATGGGGGAATTTATCAAGGGGGATTTTTCGGATGTATAATGCTATTAAAAAAAATTGTCAAGTTCCCCAGAAATATAAGCTTGGGAAATTTTCTTTTTTTTTTAACTGCTATTTTTTCGACACCAACTGTTTGCTCGTGGCCAGCAAGTGAGTAACAAGTGAGCCCAGGAGGGGGTCATGTTTTAATTTTTATTGACTCTGCGCTGACACAGTGACCCAATAATATTCAAATGAAGTCGACTTTAGTTTCAGTTCCAGCTCAAACGAACTGAAACCGAATTGTGAATGGATGCCACCGAGATGATAATGATGATAATGATGATGATGATGATGATCAGGGGATCTGCCCACTTTCCCTTTGCCATTTGACGTACAATGGACCTTATGCAACCACGTGAAGTTTCCCTCCCAAAAAAAAAAAGCTCAGCCTAGCAACCAAACCAAAAGCAAAAGTTATAAAAGAAATGGAAGCAAACCACCGAAAACTAAAAACTAAAATAAAAAACCAACTTGGAGCCGAGCCTATTTGTTGACGTTGTTGTTATTGTTGTTGTTGTTGTTGTTGTTACTCACGATGTTAAGTGTACCAAGGTCAACTGACGTCGCACGCAACTTACGTCATCAGCGAGCCAACAGTCACAGTCGCAGCGAAATCGAAATTTTCAAATTTAACCCAAGAGCAACACCAAAAACAGCAACAACAGCAACAACAACAACAACAACAACAACAACAACAACAACCGCAACAAAGGCAGTCAATGCTGTAATTTATTAACTTTGTGCAAATTGACTCTTTTTTTTACGTTTTTTTTTCTTTGGCAGGGAAAACGCTTTTTGGTCAACCGGTTTCGGTGGCTCACAACTCATACAACTAACTAATACATCATAATCGAAGCCCTAGATTCCCCAACCACACACTAAATGCATAAGAAGATTTAGTTTTTAAAAACATAGGCAACTGATTTTATTAAAAAACCAATAAACTTTTCCTTTCTGGGAAAATACTCATGGTTTGTGTTTCCTAAAGGATTTTATTTAATTTCTTTAATTAATGATTACATATTTCATTTCATATACTTTCATATATAATAATTTATAATTCAATTCAATTTTCATACAGTTCCCTAATTTTTTCTCATAAGCCATATAATATTTTAAATTAAATCAACTATTTGTTTTGAGTATTTTTAGTATTAATGTCTCAATTTGTAGAACCCACCTAGAATATGGTTACGTTTAAAACTAATTAATAGATCTATCCGTACTATTCTTATATAAGATATTGGGTTATAAAGCTTTCAATCCCACTCAAAAGGGTTAAAAAAAGAATAAAATTTCTGAAACACTAGGAAATAAATGTAGTATAGATTAGAGTGCCATCCTCATATTTCTCACGGCAACCTCATCTCATCTTCATATTTTTACAGGCGGGAGCAGTGCGCACTCGAAAAATCCAAGTGCGTACTACAAAGAGAGAGAAAAAAAAATAAATATTTGTACATTTTGGGGACAAAGCAATTTTTTGCGTTAGTTTTTAGCTGGCTATCTTTGCGTGAGTGTGTGTGTTTTGTTTGCTGACCATGAAATTATTTTTATTGCGTAGCGTTTTCAATGGAAGTTTCGCATGTGAGTGGACCGACGGTCGGGCCGTGCTGTGCCGGGAAAACACTTGACAATGTGTAACAAATTAAATTGGCCAAAACTGATAAGGGAGAAACCCCTCTGCCACCACCTTGCAACCACTTTCAACCCGTTTGCAGGTATATTAGTTGGACTTTTTTATAGTGCCAGGCGGGACAAAGACAAAGACCGGCGCCACCGATGACGCCCTGTTTGCCTTCATTATCTGGACGAGGAGCTCGTTCGGTATACAGTTTGCGAGGCATTGGGCTTGACCACGTAACCCGTTTTATGACTTGCCAATTGGTTATTGGCTCGGCTTTAAAATTGAGCTATCTCGAAAGTACAATAGTTATTTGTCGCATTTTGGATTTCACTTTAAAAAAAAAGTATGTATGTGTCACACGATCGGGCAGCAAAATCATCGTACATAGTTCGCCTTTGTCTTGCGAATGGGGCTTCCCCCTTATCTGTTTAATTATGGGAAACTTTCATTATATTGTACATAAATGTCAAAAATGTAGCTAGTAAGTAGAAACAACGATTTTTGAATGAAACATCACAGCAAGAACTTATAAGTATATTTATTTATTCTGACTCAAAAATCAAATCTATGTATAGTCAAAAAATAAATATATTTTTTAAAATATTATTAATAATCGTTTTAGAGCGAATATTACTTTTTTCGTCTGTAAATTAATTGTTATCATATCAAAGCAACAACTTCAGGCGCCAGTGCAAATATTGCTTTGGTCTGATTAGAGCAAATTGCAGTTTAGAAATCCGCAAAACAACAACAGCAGGTGATTTCCTTCGCCAATTATTACTCATGCCCAACGGCAATTAAAGCGAAACTAATAATAGCGATTTGTAAATGGCAAAAAGCAGATCTGGAATTGCCAATCGATTCACAGAAGTGATAAATATAAATGAATGTGCTGCTCATATGAATAAAATATCTCTGTGCGAGTGGGCAAAGGTAATTCACTTTAGGAATTTTATCAATGGAATCTCGAGTTCGAATCGATTATTTTGTTTTAAAGATATATATCTCCCACTTCCGTTCCGATTCACACTTAACAGTGCTGTTAACCGCTCTGTTATCCGACCCGAAGATAAACCGGATTCACGGAAATTAAGTGAGTAAACTTAAGTTCTTGCGTTTCCGCTCACTACGTTAAGCTATGAACAAGAATGCACCACTTGTTGACACACTGAGCGGCTCGAGTAGTTGATAACTGGGATGACGAAAGACGAGAAAGTAATCTGAACGAGATGAAGACGTTCGGGAAGAAAAAATCGAAGCAGATGGTGAAAAAGATATCGAGAGTCAGAAGCACAGGTTGATAAAGTTAATTCCGAAATGATGACAACGCTAATTAATACAAAATATTTCAAACTTTTTTTTTAACATTTAACAAAGAAACGTTTGGGAATACCCTTGACTGTGAGATCAGAAATATTTAATTTTTATTTAAATTCCTACGATTATAAGTATTTGAATGAAGCTTTGAAATGAGATATTGCAGAAAGCTAAATATAAAACTGCTTGCACTGCTTGATTTTTATTTTGTTATTTAGTCAGAACTTTTTAATGAATGGTCTGATTTGAAAATTTTCTTCTACGTTTCGATAGGTATTAATAAACACAACATTTGCCATTATACTTTTCTAAAATCTTTATCCTGATCAAGAATATATATAGTTTTTCACGAATACAATATAACCTTTTACTCTACGAGTAACGGGTATAAAAAGTACACAATGACGCCACTTTTAATGAAGATCTATAGAAGAACGCTGATAAATAGTAACGTCTCGACGATGAGGCATCCAACTTGGTTGGGTTGGCCCCAACACTGCCGATAGCACTTCGCATTCCATAGTCAAGTGAGTTTCGAGATAAGTTCTCCGAATTCATTGAAGAAAAACAGATAGACAGAGATGGCGATAGGGATGGAGATGGAAATGGAAAAGAAAATGCGGAAAGAGATGGGCGATGAAGTTTCCCAGACAAAGACAAATAGAACTGGTTAATAACCTGTACCCATGGCTTCTTTGGCATCTGTTGCTCATTCTTAAGCATTTCCTTTCGCCGTTTTCCGTTTCTTTCTTTTCTGGCTATATTTTTTTTTTTTGTATGGCCAAAACATACAAAGGACGCATAAATTCGACTGACTGGTCGGTCGGTCACACCCATACAAAACACAGAATACACCACGAACCACCAGTTCATATTGTTGTCATCATTTTGGCTGTGGTGGGCGCCGCATCGCTGATATATAACCATATCATTTTTGGCTTTTTATGAGTGCGTTGCGTGGTTCCATCTTTGTTGCTTTGTCTTCTACTTGCTGTCCCACAGTCCGTCCCCATCATCCCACCATTACCATCAGCATCATCATCAACATCATCATCACCATTCTCGATCCTCCATCCTTCACAAACCGTCGTGTTATCATCGCTCTCGCCCTTTGTTTGCCGCTAGCTTTTGTCTTGTGCTTCGTTGTTTTGCGAAGACTTGCAATTAAAATCATTTTCATAAATCTATGCAGCCATCCCCC